CGCCCGCCCGCCTGCCGCGGGCGGGAGGGGAGGGTCCGGTGCCCCTCTGCTTCCCTGCCCTCTCCGTGCGAGAGCTCGCGGCAGGGAAACGTTGGGCGCTGTTAACGGCTGTAGCCCCAAAGAGGCAGCTGTGGAAGGAGGGCAGGCCGCGTGGCCGGAAAGCCTTTTCTTCACTCACGAAGTAGCTGCCGACCGTAGGTTGCTCCTGGTGTGAGCAAAAGACGGTCGTGTTTCGCTAGAGAATGAGCGCTGTTGAACCATACTCGGCAGCGCAACACAAATCGCGAGTCCTTGACCTGATTCCGCGCTGTAACGATTGAATGGACTGCGTTCAGCATGTGCTCTCGGTCTCACGTACATCATGTAGCTCTACGTGGTTCAGCTTTTCCACGTTGCCTATTTTAAAAAGCAGAAGTACAAAAATACGAGTGTGTCGGACAATCAAATCACTGTAACTCATACCCCTGTTGCAATCTTAAAAGCAGAAATACAAAGAGGCAAAACACACCAATCCTCTGTGATTGCTTCAAAAAGAAAGCCCCTTATGAAAGAGCTTCACAAGCGTTCAGCAAAATTAAAGGTCATACAAAGTTTAGCAAGGGCTCAGTTGCTCAAGCTTCAGGGAAATCTGCTTTACCAATTAACATAATAGAGAAGTTGCTTTTAGCTCTTGAGGCAGGCGGGCTGCCCTTCGTACCTCAGCCCACGTCGCCAATTAACATAGGGGGATTGCAAAATGTTTTATGTTAATGAGAAAGGGGAAGAAACCTGAGTCCCAGTCCCCCCCACCACCACCTCGTGTCACAGTGAAGCTGCCGGTGGCCTTGCTGCCCCTCTGCCCGCTGTTCGCTTCGGCCTGCCCCTCTCTCCGCCGCCAGCTCCGGGCCGCCTCCATCCCCTCGCCGCTCTCACCACCTGCGAGCGCTTGATGCTGGCATCGCCCTGCGCGAGGCCGAAAGCCCCTGGCTGGAGCAGGCTGAGCTGAGCTCGCGCCCCCACCTCCGCAACGTCGTTTTTCGCTGGAAAGGGTCAGTCGGCGTTACGTGAGAGGTGCGTGTGTGCTTACGCAGCTACGGTTTTTTTGAAGCAGATTTCTGTTTTGCACGTCCAAATATCTGCCATCAGCTGTTGCATTTCCCTCCTGTCCGGGGGCTGCAATGCAGTAAAGTGCTCCAAATCCAGTGGCTGAAGTGCTCTCTCACGTTATATAATGAAAGTCATTATTTTTTACACTCTTTGGAGGGCTGCATCGGATATATCTCTGAAGCATAGCTGATGGGACATTATACATCAGTAAGTTCGTAGCGTGTTTTTGCAGGCACCTGACTGAAATCCTCAGCAATTTTTCCTTGAATTGTGAGTCCAAACTTTGGAAGATTTGTAGGGATTAGCTTTTCTGCATCTTTCTGCCTGCAAGACTGAGGAACAGGTTATCTGTAGTTTTGCAGGTGTGCTCTAATTAATGAACGTGCCACATGTGACTCCTTCTGAAATATAAACAAGACAACGTGTGTGGTTTAAGTTGGTGATTTAGGAAAGCAGAGAAGAATTTAAGTGCCCATCCTCAACGTGAAGATTCTTTTTGATTAAACCAAAATGTAGATTAATTTAAATCCACATTTCAATGAGCAAAAAGTGTTCTTATCTCTAGGAGGTGTGATCTTGCACAGGCTGCGTGTAGGAAAGTAAACAGAAGAACAGAAACTGTCTGCCAGTTAACAAACCTTAAACAAATGGAACACAGCTTCCTCACCGATTTTAACCTTGAGTAGACTTTTCTCTGGGTGTGAACTTGCTGACCAGTCCGTATTTGTAGGCAAATGGCCTAACTTACTGAAGCACCGTGTCCTTTTTTACCCTCAGCAGTAGCTCCTAGACCCCAAGATGCCCGCAAAGCTGTCTGATGCAGGTCCCAGCCAGAGGAAGCTCCCACCACGGTCCCATCGGTTGAGAGAATGAAGAGTGATGTTGCCCAAGCACATGTTACTTTCCAAGGCCAGGAAGGCTTGGAGGTCGCTGCCCGTGGAGCGTGAGTAGACGTCACGCTTGGGTCCAAGGACAGCTCTGTCAGCTAAGGAGCCCTCTGTGTGCATCCCAGCTGGGCGGCTCATTGAGGCATCGGTGAGCTTTGAGAAGGATGCAGGAGGAGAGGAGGAGTGTGTATTAACACAAAAGCACATGATTTCTGCTCTTCTGATAACCGTCCATATATTAGAAGCTTGTGCTCGTCTTTGCTTATGATATTTGGGGATGTGGTTAATACTGTGAAAGCAACTTACTTACGTTATTAGGAGAGGGGGTTCTATGGTAGCAGTTATGTTTAGAATCTGTAATGCAAACCAGGGCCTGGAGACAGCTCATGGAAAAGTAACGTAACTGTTTATTAATTGTGATTTACATGTGGATTAGAAGAGCATTAACTGGTAAATCAGGGGTTTCTGCAAAAATTGCCATCTTTTGATCTTTGATGATTATTTTTAGTGCAAATATTCTGAAAAGATTGTAGCAGTTCTCTCTTTTCTGGGAACGAAGTCAGGGGTAAGCCCAGGACTACAGTTATAAAGGTCTGTGGAGGAGAATTGTATCTACAACATAAAC